TTTTCCAGTAGTATTCCTTTAACATGCCCTGGCTTCTTTTGAAAAACTTGCTTTAAAGAAGTCATCCTCTATGTTCATCCAGGCCTTCATCTTAATGATTAGAAAACTGATGAAGTCCCAGCCGGTGGCAAGAACTATCACACTTTGCGTTATGTGGTTGTCTTCCTCAGAAAAGTGCTCATCTGCAAGTTTCAACAGCTTACGTGAGTATTATTTTTCCTGAAGATTCCTAATGGAGAGTTTTTATGTGCAACATATCAAGTAAATATGTCAGTCATGCTTGGTGTGGCCATCTCCTTTTGTTTAAGTGTGAACATGTATTTTTTTTTTCATGGGAAAAAAATACGCCTGTCTCTGTGTGGATGTATTTCTATTCTTTACCACATTCTGAAATAGTAATGTAAAATGTCTTGAAATTTTCCATGAAAAAAAAGCAATAACAAAAAAACCAACAACTCTGGGATGAGTTCATGCCTGGAATGTTTCTAAAAAAAAAAAAATATCACAGAAGATTATATTTCAAAAAAGAGTGATGAATAATGGAAAGTATGAACTGTGAAGTTCTATTATATCAGTTGTATTTAGGTTAACCACATTTAATTTTTTTAAGCTCATAAATCCTTAAGCAATGTTAATCACATGATGGATTTATTTGTAAATTTACATACTGCCCTGAAGGAGACACTGATTGTTGCATTCTGTGGTGACTCATGAGCATCTCTGGTTCAAGCTGCCAGGACCAAGAAAGCAAACTGAGTAGTATGATCTTGTATGAACTGTTATTAATTTTCCAGTAGAGTTATCCTCAGGATAACATTTTTTAACACACTAAGATAGGAAAACTAAAAAAAAAGAGTGATATAAAGCAGTCTTTAAGTTTGAAACATAACATTGTTTTCTTTCATTCTGTTAAAACTGAAAATTATGCACTCTAAGCATACATATACACATAAACAGGAATATCCTGTTTTAGTTGTCCACTGTATTCAAAGTAGTTATTCCAACAAATGCACATAAAAACCTTTCAAACAAATGTGAAAGCATTTTTCATTAATAAAGATACTATTAGTTCTTAATTTCACTTCCAAATTCAGCTATCACCAGCTTTACACAACAGTTCTTGTTCTCTAAGTTCTCTGCTTCTCTAATCAGAAGTAAAATGCATGCATGCTACATTTTAATAACATGTATGTATTTTAAAATTGAATTCTTTATTGCATGTCAATGAAAAAATAAGCCTATGGTAAAGTCAAAGCCCTGACAAACAGATTTAAGATACATTTAATTAAAGTATTATCAATGAATAAATATATCATGAGTGACAACATATGGTAGTAGAAACAATTATAAAATAGTTACTTGGCTTCCTATTTATCTGGCAAATGAACTGCTGTCCATAAAAGAACATCAGATGTAAACTAATGGCTTTTTAATAGACGGAAGTTTGACAAAATACTGGCAGATGGTATTTTGGGTAATGATCCAGACTGCAATGATCTCAGTAATGACTTGTTGTATCTATTTACCTGGCCTCAAACAAAGGCAGAGAAAAAGCTAAAATGATTCGAGTAGCATAGGCTGCTCTCACACTGTAAATGTTTAAATCTCTGAAGCAGCCCATTCGCTTCTGTAGCAGGAGAAAACATGAAATTGATTAAAACAGCATAAATGCAACAGGAAAATCTTCCTCCTCCGCAGGCAGTTTGGGAATGGAAACTTACCTAGTTCTCATGATCCTTTTTTTTTTTCCTCTTTCCTGTTGTTGCTCTGAAGTGGTCAGTTCAGGGGAAATTCTGTCCTTTAAAGGAAAAAGATCCCATAGCACCACTGGGCCACTCCAGCACGCTTCTTCTCAAGGCGTGATGATCTGCTTCCAGAACAGGGGCAATGAGAGTAAGGAAGGCTTTGGGAATCATGAAGGACTGCCGTGTGCCCTGAAAATCTTCCTTTAGCCTCACATTGACATGGATCATGACACAGGGCTTACAATGACTGTTTCTCTACTTCCCTCTACAATTCACAGAAACAAATCCAAACCGCCGTCATAAACCACAAGGAGCATCTCCTGACTTCGTCACACTTAACACAGTTTCTGAAACCTTAAAAAAATACTTGTGTCCTCTAAAATTCCACTTCAGCTACAGAAAGTCCCATTGTTTGGTGATCTAAGAAAATACAAATGGAAGCCTCACGTAGATGTTAATATCTACCTAAACATAATGAGAAAACTCTTGGAATCAACATTCTGTGATAAGTACCATTGGAACATAAAAAGTCTGTTGGACTTTCTTGCCCAGCCTCACTTACTGTGATACTCCCACTGCTGAAAACAGTGCTGGGAAACTTGTTGATCTACAGTCTCAGAAATATCCGTCCCAATAATAAACAGGATGACTTGAACTTCAAATCAGCTTAGCACCGGTGTCACACAATATAAATTAAGAGGTCATTGCAATCTGCTCCAGAGGAACTACTTGTGATGCTGGACAGTTTGCCATGATAAACATTATACTGAGGTACACAGGTGTTGGAGACAGGCAAGAGAAATGTCCTGACAGAATAGCTATGTTTATATGCACTTTCAGTCAAGGCATTCAGCCTAGCTGTTGTCAAATTAGTCTATAGTAGAGATGTAGTTCTGGGTTTCAAGTACTTTGAGATGCACTGGAAAGACAAGTGTCAAAGTTGTGCTATTTTCCATTAGGTGTGTTCAGTATTTATGTGAACTGTCATGGACAGCTTTAGCACTGTGAAATCCTGAGTGCCCCCCCCCCCGCTTCCCTGGGCCATTCAGTCCATCTGTAAAGATCTGCATGGATCACTTAGATAGAACTTCTGCAGCTAGTAAAAGTCTGCTGCTCCTTCCATTGCAGGATCAGCTACAAGACTTCCTTTTCTCATGAAGCAAGTGCTTTTCGTTTACAAGCATAGTCCACCAATTTCTGGTTTGGAAGGATTGGTCTAATTTCCTCTGAGTATATGAGAAAACCTCAGAAAGATTTGTCTCATAACACATCTGGCCAGGTTTAGCATATGGCACTGCCAGTACTCAAGACCTTCACCCTCCATGAGGTTGGAGCATTGGCTTTATGAGTTTTTACAAACTGCTGACAGACACAGGGAGATACAAACTCTGGTAGCTAGGACCAAGGTTAAAATCTATATATTTGCTCCCTTCCAGTCTGCAGGAAACTAAATAATTCTTCATGCTGTTATAATCTGCCCAGAAAGCCAGTGTTTAGCTCTGCAGGCTGGCATGTGGAAAATGATGTTTGACAAGAAACCTGCATGCACATGATCTGCACTGAGGATACACAGATAAACAGAACAAAATGCTGTATTCTCCCATACCTCACTTGATGTTCTGATATCCTTTTAAAAGTACTCATACTTGAAATGAAGTCCTCAGCTAATCTGCAGCCTTAAGAAACTCCACAAAACCTGGGATGGGGATATCATCACCAAGGGTAGTACAGGTTGGAAAGTGCAAGAGGTGGGAAATTAAGTGCAAGAAGGATATAAGGGAAATGAACAAGGTTAAAGGACACCAAAGGCTGATTAATTCCTAAGGAACATAAGGAGAAAACTTACCTTCCTTTTACCTGCACAGCTAACCAACAACTGTCACAGTACCTTTTGTATGGCTAACACAAATATACATATGAAGTATACATATGAAAATATGGAAAATACTGATTTTCAAAGAGCATTTTTTCCTGCTTGCTACTTCTTTAATTTTACATAATAGGCACTATCTTAGAGAGAATTAAGGTATTCATGCTTCATATATATGATCTGAAATTGGTGCTCCTTCTCTAGTCAAGTGACATAGTGAGCCTCACAACTTTAAGACCATAAGCATTTGAACAGGGTGCTTGCTCAACCTGTTTCCACTTCAAATTAGTTCTGCAAGACATATTTAAGCCAGTGCATTGATTAACATAAACATTAGAAGCACATAGGTATATACAGTGTGTCAAATGATGAATCAATCCATGGAAGTGATACTCAACTTAGATGAAGTTGATTTGTTTGTGATCAAAGTCTTTAACCAACATTTAGGTTCTTTCTTTGAATTTTATATTTGGGAAAGTTTTATTATACATCAGGAATTCTCTTCTGTCAGTAAGATCTTGAGCAATGGTCAATCCTCTTAAGATACTTGAGACAATTGATATAAAGGTCACGACCAGTAATGGCCAGATTAGAGGAATATTCACACAACTGAAGGAAACTGAAGTTTACTTTCAGTACTTTTGGGGGCTATTTTTATAACATGAACTGGTTAATCTAGAGAGAGTTATTTGTTTGGTTGTTCCAAGGGCCTATCCAGCATATTGTAAGGAACGTTTCTGCTTGGGACACTTAGATGTAACCTTTTCTATGACTTTCCTTTTGATGATTTGTTTTGTTCTTTTTTACCTAAATTCACTGGCAGTTTTCAGATGTAGGGTCCTATAAAACTTACTGAAACAAAAGACATCAAAGAGGAGGAAATTTCTAAAATACTACTAAATCACAAAGGGAGTTTGTTTAGGAAGTTGTTGGACATCCTTCCACTTGAATTTTTTTCCTGCAAAAGCTGTTCAGCTGTGCTTTTAATTTTATTTTTCACCTTTTGCCTTTTGTGTGTTCATTGAAATGGGAACTGCAGGTATAACCGATGCATTCTCAACCAATTTGTCCAGGTTTCAGGTGCTATGTACAGCTTGGCACATTTTATTTAAGCAAACAATTTTTTTGAACAGTGCAGTTCTTTGCGGATTCAACTGCTGCTCTTATAGCTCTCAGTTTCTCTCCCCCTTATCTTTCTTAAAAGTTGATGAGTTGTCAGATATTAAATTAGTCCCACCATTTATAAAGTGGTTTGTTTATATTGCATAAGATCTAGTCAGGGTGGCATAAGCTATTGGATTAAATACAGTTTTAAATTTCCTTGGTCCAATGTCAAGATTCCACTGCATGTTAGTAACCAATATGACAATAAGAAGACACAGAAGAGATATGTTTTCCTTTATTGTTTATTATAATACAAGAAAAACAAATCTAGAAAGCACATTTCATGGAGCACCATAGTGTAACAAAATTTTGCTGGCTCTCCTACAAAGGGTATTTTTGACATTTAAACAATGACACACACATAGTCAGTACACAAAGGCATCTACACCCGACGATCTTATTAACGGCCACAGCGAGACCCCTCTTTCAAATACAGAAACACTAAGGTGCACAGAGGAATGCCAGTGTGAGGACATCGGAACGCCAACTGAGTTAATTACTCTTTTGTTAGCGATCTTCATAAGCACACAAGCATTCATTGTCTCACCCCAATCTCTCTTCTCTGAAGATTCCAAACTGCGGCCAGAGATCACTGAATATGGATCTGGCACAGATATGGTGTAGAGTTGAACAAAACTGGCCAATATTCCCTACCTGATACCTCTTATTGCTTTGGTTATAGTACTGAAAGTCGTAAAAACTCTTAAACCTACACTCCACATCACAGAAAAGCCACTTTCACACATACAGAAATATAACCTCCCTCCCCACACACAACTGAACGCATAGCACTGATACCTTTTTGAGAAGTTTTGTGGGTTTCCCAAGATCACCTTCATAAAAATTATTGCATTTTGTTTTTCAGACACTTGTTCAACAATATATTTCATAATATATTTCTTTCATTTTAATAGGGCATGTTTTCCTGCTGTCTTAAATTTATGTCATTGTCTACACAAACAAGAGCAAAATGCTATCATTTTCATCTGTACAAAATGTTTTACATTCATTTTATACAGTGCTTAATAAATTACGCTAAGCACAAAACAATGTAGAATGATAGCCCAGAGTAGCTTTTTACCTTGCTCAAAATGAAAAAGTACTGGAAGGTTCCCATACTAATGTTGAGACACAGTATTGGGGTCTCTATTATATACAGTAGCCTTCCAGAATACTTTCAGGCACCTATTTTGTGAGCTATTGCTTAATATGTATGTCACACTGAAGCACCTCAAGTAATATGTTTTAGTGCCCTCAAACAGTAAGAATAAGAGACAAAAGCAAATCCAGCCTCACAGCAGACTAGACCAATTGTGAAGTATGATGCTGGCAAGGTAGCAAAATTTCTGCCTGGACTCAAAACAGCCCTCTCTTTCAATAATTTCAGGTATTTAACATATGGCCTCTTCTATCAATAACTGAGGATAATGCATGAACCATTTCTAGAAAATGTTTTAATTTTGTCAACAAAAAAATGAAGAGCTTGTACGTCTATCAGCCACTTATAAAAGATATTTTTTTCCTCTAAGTCCATTTCTCTTTGAAATACTTCCCCTGCTTTCTGACCACAATTTTTCTGGGGAAATTTTAGGATTTGCAAAATGCATTACAGTCTTGATAATCAGTGAGGCTGAATTATCTTTAAGTTTTGGGCAGGGTAATGCGTTCAAGTTGCCAAGAGAGAAATGAAGTTATTGTGTATTTTTTCTTGTGGAAAATCCTTGTGGATTTCCCATTTACAGGAGCCAATTTCATAATTCCTTTATACTGTGCGATGAACAGGCATCTATGAATAACAAGACAAAATAATGGAAATTCAAACGGAAGGACAAAATGGCCTTGAAAAATAACTGTAACTTTAGATATGCAAAGGGTATTAACTAACTCAGAATTACTAACTCAGACTCATTCCTCCGAGCTAAAGGTATGTTTCAACAGCTGTGCTAAACATTTGGCTAGCATTTCCCGGATAAACAGTTCAGACTCCAACTGTATGATGGGGAAAAGAAGAGAGAAAGAAAAGACTTACTAGTTCAAGTTTTACAAAGGCTACAGAGTTGCTATGGATTAATAAAGTTTCAGATGACTGAAGAATAGGATGTAATAAGGAAAAGATGCTGTGCTGGGTATACAAATACATATTTTCACTTGGAGTAATGTCTACAGCTTAATCACCTGAGTAAAAGGACAGCGCAGTGAAAACAGAAGAGAATCAGAGACAGGCAAAGAATATGAACCTGTATAAGAACTGTTGTTTGACTTAAGAAACAAAAACTGTATTTCTATATAGAGTACATAATTACTGACATTCAGAAGAAAAATTGGGATCTCTCCTGTTTATACTGTTTTAGCATAGAAGAGCAAGAGATGAGAATGACATTGAAAAGCAGCCAATTTAAATCTGAAAAAGACATCTGTTTCTATTTGTTCTTAAACATGATGGGGTTTGATTTTAGTTTTTCTCATCTCAAGAAATATTTAGGTCTCAAAACTCATGATCAGCTTCTCATAAGGATGATGAGATATCAATGATATCACATTAGACAAGACTAAAATAATAAGGGCTGAAGCTAATGAAAATTCCAGAAGAAATTATTGCACCTTCCCCTGAAGCATCTGATACAATCAGAGGTAGGACACTGGGTTAAATAAATCACATAGTTTGGCTATGTTACTGTTTCTATGATATTAGGTTTAAAAATTTCAGTTATATATCCCAGTTAGTCATGAAAATGTATAACAATCCTCCACACTGAGCAATGTGTTACAGTAACATTAGTGAATGGGAGAACAGAATAATTATTATTATTGGTCTTATGACATATTCACACACACACACAGAGACACGCACCTTCTGAGAAGTGAAGCTCACTAGAAGGTCTGAAGACCATTCTTTACACCCTTCTCTGATACACATTACGAAACTCTGTGTGTGTATCTGTATATGTTTAACTGAATGTAGAGGAAAATGTGAGAAGGGAAGCATGAACCTGAATATGGGAGAAATCACTCATGTTACGCCATTATTTCAGATCTGTTCTGGAAAATACATTTCCAAAAGCCTTGTACATTGGCTAAGTTGACCAACAGCCAAGCAAGAAGAAATACACAATATTAAAGGTACATTGTGAAAATGAAAATATTTATGTATCTATTTTCTGTTCTTTCCTGTGTTAGTACTAATACATCATGTTCCTGACAACTGGCAAAATGAGAAATTAAAAGAACTAATTTGATTTTTGCCACTTACCCTGTTTATCTGTTTCATATTTTTGCCAAAGTTGAGAGAAAACTTGGATAGGCATCAACTTATGGGTTTTCATTTGTCAGCTCTAATGGGTTAGCTCATTGTAAACTTGCCTTTTCATCAGGCTTGATTAAATCATTTTAGTTTTAGAAATACCTAAACTTAATGTATACTAAGTTGACAGTATCTCTTTAAACATAATTAATAATTCCTCAAACCCATTTGTATGAAAATTCGGCCATCTTTTGGACTTACTCACATTAATTCACACTATTTTTTCACCCTGTTTTTCTGGGAAGGCTTTTGAGAACACAAGTGAAACAGACTATCACCTCACCAGATAGCAGAACTGCAGCTAATCAATTGTGAGGCTGCAAACAACTTAACTTCCAGGCAAACTAACCTAGCTATAAACTAGTTGCAGTTAAGCAGATAGCAAAAATCAGCATGACTACATTTAACAGGGTAAATGACAGGATAGGTTTCCATTTAAATGAGGTAAAGTTGTGTATAAGTCCCCCGTCCCCCCAAATACATCTGTAAGATCATTATGTAAAATAAAAATAAAAGAGAGAAATAAGTTATTTTTTAAAAAGCTAAAAATGAAATTACCTTTAAGCCTATTGCTAGACAGAAAGAGATCAAGGGAGTAAAGAAAGAGAGAAGAGAACCAGAGAATATTGATAAATGTGTGTTGTCAGCTCTGAGAACTGAGGCTTGGTTGGCATCAGCTGAGTTTGGTCTCATGATGAGACCTCTAGGAGGAACCTCTAGGAGGTTCTTACTGTTTTGTTACAAATAGCCTGGGTTTTTTAGCTTTCAAATTGTAATAGGCTCATTTGATCACCTTTGTCTTTTTGGTCCAACTCTGTAGATTTTAACATCTTTCTCAGCAGGCACTGGCCTGCATACTGGGTACAAACATATAGATAGAATTACGTAGTTAATATACTGTGCAGAGGCATTCACAGACTACAAATTCCAGCATACAATGTTTAGTCTTGATTTGCGCAGCCAGCCTGCATACACAATGCATTGTATGGTGGTTCTTGTAGTCTCTGAACAATAAAATCTGAGGACAATTGCCACACTCTACTGCATTTCTATGCAAAGTAATGGCAAGCCCCCTGGCTCCTCCCAGGTGGCTTGCAGTGGCTACAGGAGGCTAAAGAAGCGTCTCTGATGAAAATGCACGGCATTGCCTTTCCATGGATTGCCTTCCAAGCAGAAAGGCTTCTGGCTCACCCCAGGGACACTTCATGAGACAGATTCCTGGGTCACCACTCTTCCTGCTCGCCAGCAGCACCTTTTCACAGAAGCCTCTTCATCTCTTCTGTCCCATAGCGAGCACAGGAGTGGTATTTTTTCCATACAATAATGTTTCTGTGGAGTTTTTTGTTTTATTTTCTTTTCCTAGTTAATGTTCGTTTCACCTTGCTATCAAGTGTGTTCTCCTGCAATCATCTGAAAGGTCTTATTCAAACCAGCATGTTTTCTTTTGTTTCCCTTTTTACATCACCTTAAGGGGACACATCTGTTGACATAACTTCTGTAGAGAATGGATTTCATCTTTTGCTGAAATTTTGTTCCAGCCAGAGTCGAACCTCCTGCAGATTGTAGAAAAAGGGCCCTTTGCCTCCAAGGTAGGCGATTTTTTGTCTCTGCACTATGCACACTCGCTCAAATGAAACCCCATAGGCCACATTGGCATTGTTGTCCATGCAGTCAGCCACCACTTGGCACTGAGGTGGCAAGGAAAAGCGCTCGAGGAGCTGGTGAGCAGCTGCGCATCGGTCTTCCTGGTTCCTGTGTTTCTTAACTTCAAACGAAGAGGGAGAGATTCCAGGAGCAGCCCAGCCATCTGACGGGTGAGCCTCATCAATGTAGACCAACAGAAAGTCAGCCACACCGGAGAACTCCTCCACCAGCTTGCTGAAGGCTGACAGCTGGCTTGTGAACGGTGGTCAGGTAGCTGAACCAAAGTTGACCACCAGTGGCCGCTCAGAGTTGGCAAAATCCAGAAGGTGGCATTTGGTTCCACACTTGCTACCGACACTCTTCCAGCTGCTACTGCTGCCATCACTGCCCTTGGCTATGTGGATTACACTGGAGTTTGGGGCTTCTCCTCCCAGTTTGACCTGATGGCAAAACACATGAAAACATAGCAAGTTAGTGTGACTTGCTTGACCACTGTCCTTATGACTACTCTCTTCAAATAGTCACCTTTTCAAAGAGTACACCTAACTACCTGCATGGACACTAACATGGGCATATAGCAAATCATCAAAAGCAGCATCTTCAAAAAGTTCACCTGGTCCATCTCCACTGACAGCGCAGGGAAATGTGACATTCCCAAAGTTATACTGCTTCATTACTGTTAGGAAATCTGATCTGAGATATGTCTTATCCTGTCCACTACACACATAGTCATGTCCACCCTTATGTATTTGCAGACCCTTGTTCCTTGTTTGCTTTCAGACAGACTACCTAATTTATTCCATCTTTTCACTAAGAGACAAATTTTCTAGACATGATTTTTTTCACTGCCATCCTCTGAGTTCTCTCCACTTGGTTCACATCTTCTTTGAAAAGCAGTGTTCAAAACTTCAAGAGTTTTTACTAGTTCTCAGGATAATCAGACAATTACTTAATGTATATCACAGGCTACACCTATTTGTACATTCCAAATGCTTGCTTTTTAAGAACATCATGACTATTTTTTGTTGACTAGGGGTTAGCTAGTGAGAAGTTATAATGCCTAAGGTCCCCTTTTCTGTCCCATTGAACTGTATCCTACATTTCAAGCCATTTTTTTTTTCAATTCTCCAGAATTGAAATACAATTACAATTCTGCATTGTATTCCCAATCTTCACAATACATGCAGGGCCTCTCAATTTTGAGAGGTTTGCAGAATTCATCGGTGTATATTCTCTTCCATCCTGCAGTCCAAGAATAAAAATACCCAGAGTACCAAACACAAGAGATCTCTGCAAGCACCCACTCAATATATCATTTTGTTTTCACAGTGGACTATCCAAGACTGTACTTTCCAGAGGGTTTTCTAACCACTTTGCCCTAATTTCATTGGTGATTCAGTGACATGTTTCCTTCTACTGCAATGTGTCTCTGTGTTTCTCACTGCAATGTTTCTCTAGAAGATGACTGGGCAAAAAGCAGAAGGAAAAGGGGAAAGTATTTATGATAGCAGGATGAAGTGAAAGTGAACTGTTCTCAGCTCTAACCCCAGACCTAACTCAGACCCAACAGGCAATTGTGGAAAAGTCATTTTGCCTGATAGTTTCTATTTCCCTGCCTATAGAAAGTAGAGAGAATATATGCATCTTCAGATGGGACTGCCAGAATAAGGTGGAGCCTGCAGAGGGCTCCAAGATCCTTAGCTGATAACTTCTATAGAACCACAAAATATTATTACATAAGACAATTAGTTTTTAATGAGCTATGCCACGGCAATTCCTAGGTATCTGCCTTTAACATCAAGCTCTAGTACAGCAATGCAATTATCCTTTTGTATTTCCTTGACACTTTCTCCCTATCTCCTGTCTAATTGCTTATGTTCAGAAGCGATGCTTTGAAGGAGACATACAGGGCCAAATTCTGAAGTGTTTCGTATTTTATTTCTGTCTTTCTGAAGCTACACTACAATTGAAGCCAATAGAAGTTAATGCTGAATGCAAACTGTGTAAAAACTGAATAAATAACTGACTTTTGGTGCAATTCTATTCTACATTACTTTATAGGGTATCCTGGTGAGTCAGATGCAAGAGTCTAACCAAAGCAAAGTTTGTAAGACTTCACAGCTACAGGAGAAGGTCTCACAGCATGTTGGCACATGATATCAACATTTTGACTATTTTCTATGGGGCAAATTGAGACATAGCTGTGCTGTCATTCACTCGGAGATCAGCACGGAAGAGAGCCACAGCAAGAAAGGCTGCCTGAGACTCACAAATCTCTCTAGGCCAAGCAGAAGGTGATCATGCTACTGGGAGCAGGGGATGTGCAGCTGCACCACAGGCAAGGGAAGCAAGTGATGCCCCAGGAAAGCACAGCCCCTCTCCCTATAAACCTGCATCTGTAGCATCACCATCTGCTAGAGCTCTGGCAACAATTAAAAAAAAAAAAAAAAAAAACCCTTGCCCAGGAGCACCTGATGGCAAAGAAACACAAAAGCATAGAAAACTGGAGGAAAATCCCTTGTTTTCCCCCTGGAGGAAAAAAAAAAAAAAAAAAAGCCTTGTGCTTGTTTGGCTTTGAAAGCAAGTGAGGTTTCAAATAAGTGAGATTAGGACCTGCTGTGTGAATGGGCTGTCCATTGAACTCAAGGAAGGAAAGAGCTGTATCCCAGTTTTTGAGGAGAAAGGATGTATCTCTCTTTGAGAGAGGCAGGCTCAGGTTGTAGCATTTAGAAAGCAGCACTAAGCATCGGAGCTTTTAAGAAGTGTTTCTACAGGCCACCTACACCTCAGCAGGTAGTAGGTACTCTTCTGTGCAGCTGTTGGACATCTCATTTCTCTCTGCCATTCTGTGCAGTAAGATAGGCTAAGCAGCAGTGAATAAGGTAAAGGGCCAGACTTGAGCAATAAACACATAGGTCAAGATCATTTGGCGGCCGTATAATCATCCAGAGGGCTGCATTCAATCCATAAGCTGTCTAGACAACTCAGCATTTCGTGATTAAGTTGTAACTACCAAAACAGGGCACATCTCAAGACGCCATCTGGACAAACACTGGATCCCTCTTTGCCTAGAAAGCCTAACTGGTCTTGCACTGCCAAGCAAATGCTTTTTCAGAGCTAGCTTGCCCAAAATGTGGCTTTTGGGCAAAGCCTGACATGTAGGTATCTGTGCTGCACCCACTCCCTGGATGAATAATGGACCTCAGTTCTTAGGAGTGTGTGCTCATCCAGTCAAAGAAAAGAAGTAATAACATGTGATTTATCTCATAAATCACAATTAGGCAACATACTTTGAATTTGTAACATTTGCTGGCGCTCTTCAGAGGAGAAATAAAGGTAAAAAGGATAGAAGCAACTCAAACTCAGCAATGAACAGAGCTGCTCAGGAGAAAAGAAACATCAAGCAGCTGTTTCCCCTAATTCTTCTGGTTTAATTTTAAAAAAACTATTATGACTGAAAATCCTCTAACCAACACTTGAACTGGGAAACCAGTTTGATTCTTGATCATATTTAAGCTACATATTGTAAGCTCCTCATTACCAACTCTTCACTGAGGTCTACCAAAAACTTCTTTTCCTAGGCAAGTTTGAAAATCCTGAAGACTAAATCCTGATGGCTAAAAAACAACTCCCATCAAACACCAGCATGGGAATGTCCTTCAAGTACTATTTAACATTGATACCAAGGCTGGCAACATATTTCACTGTTCTCCAACAATGCTAGTTTGCATCTTGTATCTCATACTCCTTATTGACCAAAAAGTAGATGGGTTTAGGAAATAAACAAATATGTCCTACGTCACCTTATCACAGTTTCTCTTCATTTCCCACATCCATGAAGTCTCATGGCCGCAGGTTACCTATCATTTTAATTTTTGTTTCTAGGAGTGCTTGTGGTGGGTTTTTTCTCCTTAATGAGACATCCTTGCCAAGCAGGCATTCACGAAGCATTTTCTGCTCTTGTAGAGGAGTAATTAGGTCGGTGCCTTGTTCTATGCCAGTGTCAGGCACTCCAAAAAGCAGCCCTGCCCAGTCGTTAATGCTTGAACATAAGCAGCGGCATCTCCACTAATTGGTCTTGATGAAGCGCTGACGTTCCCATAGGGACTTTTTATTTCACCAGGCTCGGGAACTGATTGACACAGGATGACAATATCATCCTTGCTGATCATCTGCATTGTAGGCCTTGGCTGTCTTCTTTGTTGTTATTTATTGAAAGAAAAAATAGCTCTTGGAAAAGAAAATCAACGCAATGAGAAAACAAACAAAAAACCCCATGTATTCAGCCAAACCGCTTTTGAAATCTTACACAAAGACAGGCAAAATATAAATTCTGAGAAACAAACTAGCAGAATTCCCCTCACACGCAATCCAGCATTTCTATAATCACGTACTGGTGTGCGTGAACATTCGGGCACTCGGTGCCAGCCTTCTGGATGAGATGCAAACTGAACAGTGTGCAGGCAGCCTCTCCCACGCAGCCTGCATAGGACACACAAGGTAGGCCAACCAAAACCGAGAGCCAGCCCGGCCATCAGCAAGAGTAAGCACCAGCCCAACACCAAAGAAGTGACTTGCATCATTTGTGTGAATCTTGTATTTGCTTGAGAGCCATGGTACTGCATCTCCTCCCTTGAGTCTGCACACAGAGTGAACATGGAAAAAGGTTTGCTGATGCTTTAGCACGCAGACTGCAAAATGAAGGAGACTTAGGAGCGGGAAAGAAAGCCCTATTCATAAACTACAGGCCAGAAATAGCACATACTGCTAACTTTGTTGTACGTCCTCCATGAGTTCCTCCTCTAGAAAAAGCCCCACAGGCAAAACATCACCTCCTCATTTACCTTTTCTTTTTTCTCGTTTTGCTTTTATCAGCTTTAGCATAACCCTCCTGGGATCCTGTGCACTGGAGTATGGCTTTCATTCCCTGCATGAGCGATTTTCAAACAGTTTGGCAGACTCATCAGGCTGTGTCAACCCCCTAAAGAAAATAGGTGTTGCCAAACAATTAGCAGTCTGTGATATTAGCCATTTAAATATGGACATGCTGTGTTTGGGACTGGAGTCCAGTGATTGGTAATGAACTGAATCCCTGGAGCTTTTTGCTCCTTTTCAAATTCTCTGCTTTGATTTGATTCCATTCAGCCAAATATAGCCTCTGAACAGCCCAATATTTCTTAGTGTTTCATCCAAATCATAATCAGACTCTGGCTAGAGAATTATACAAATTATTATTATTTTTTCTTTATTTATATGACCCAGAATTGTGCAGTGGATAAAAATTACAGAAGGCCCTTGTCTGGAGTAGTGTATGGGAGTGGGAGCTCTTCATTTGTCATGGGGAAGTGGCAGCTTGCTTTACAAGACTCGATTACCCGAATCGGACTGGAATTAACTCCCAGAGTCCAGAGTCTTTATTTAGGATCAGGTGTGTGGAGCT